CGTGAAAATAAAATAAACAATAAAAGGTGAATCAAATGGACCATTATGGCAAGGCTGGGATGGTCAGTTTGGTAAAGTAAATCCGTTGGGCATCTTTCTTTGCCTTTAGACAACAATTCTGATGGCAAAAGAGCCAAACGGGACAGGCCAAAAAAAACAAAAAAAAACAAACAATGTAGAGCTTCTTAAATCAATTTTCCAGTGCAAAGTATATTAGACTGAAGTAACCGCAGTGAAAATGTAGCATTTTCACAAGTTAACATTAAGCTGCAATTATTGCAGATTGCTCAAAATGGGATAGAGCTCTTGTAATAATATATAATAGTAATAATAATATTAGATGAACTAGATGATAAGTAGATGACCCAAGAATGACCACATTTATATGTACTATAATTACTAACCCTCTGTCACTTTAGCACGCCTCCTGTATTTGATGAAAACAGCAGCGATGACGGCAACCACCAGCACCAGCATCACAGCACCAATGATGATGAAAGCCTTGTTTGGGGTGGAATCTGTCAGAGGATTCAAAGTAGTCAGCATTAAAAGTCTTTCAAAAGTCATTAAAAAGTATGTAATTCACTTTTTAAAAAGTGACTCACTCTTATATCCCATCTTATCTTAATTTACTTTTTTTCTTATTGATGTTATCCTACCTATGAGGACAGGTGTGTAGTGAGCTTCTATCTTCACAGTATTGTTATCTTCAAACTGGCAGGTGTATCTTTTCTTGTTGCCACTCTGAAGCTTCACAGTCAGAAGAGAAACACACGTGCGTCCAGTGTTCTTCACATCTCTGTCCCACAAAACACACTTCTTGTCTCATCCACCCAATGCATACTGTTTTGTTTGCAAGGAGGGAGAGTACAGCAGAGATAGAAGTAAAGCATTACTGTAATCTGATTACTTTTTCCATCCTCCTTTGGATCAGTGTCTGATGGAAATGCTGAAACTGAGCAGAGAACACGAGTGAAAACAGTTATGCAAGTTCAAAACATCTGGATTATCTTCCTAAATGTGAGAAACCTTATGAGACATTACAAATAAGTTCTATTTTTCTCCTGGTATTTTAATAGCTTAAATAAGTGATTATCTAATAGTAGTTTTACTCATTTAGAATATAAAATTTGAAATGAATACATAAGCCATGGCCAGATTTACTGCTCTCATCCAATGAAATAAAAACTCTTTTCATTTAAAGACCTGTCTCCATGTTTCAACACGAGAATTTTAATTCCCCAAGAAGGTGATACATTCAATTACATGACACGTGTAGAGGGAAATCAATGCTGTATAATAGTAAGTGTGGTGATAATGGGTGTGTTTAATGCTTAATGTACGGTGTCATTCACAGATATGGATATATGGAAGTCCATGGAAGTCTAAATACTCACTGGTCAAAATATTTAGGTCCACATTTGTGTCCTGATCAGCGGTCCCCTCAGGCCGACAGAAGTATTGGCCGGCATCCTCTGCAGTGATGTTGTTAATACTCAGTGAACAGTTACTGTGCAGACTCAGTCTGTCAGCTTGAGCTGAGTTCTTCTCAACAATTCCATTATGAACCATATTGATTGTCTGAGACCCGTGTTTGCTGTAAGCCCAGATAACCATGGAGCATGTATCAGGAACATTGTCACAGGGCATAATGACATCATTTCCAGGTGTTAGATACAAGACGTGTTCGGTTTCACTGACGCCCACTGCAAAGAAAAGAGCACATTCATATAAATGTGTATATAGCACACATGGTCATCTTCAAACAAAAAAATGAATAAACTGAGTGCAAGAGGTTTGTCCCCCCCCCCTTTTTCTTTTTAGAATCATTCAATGTCCAAAATATTTCTTTGTATTATACTGAAATGGCTTTGGATTTGTTAGAAGATCACAAATCAAGTTTAAATTTGTTTCCAAACTGAACTCACGCTCATGCCACAATTCTGTCTTCCGAAATATTGACTAATAGGGCTTTGGAGTTGACGTCACGCCGCTATGCATTGTGGGAGCGCAGCTCCATTTTCGGGGTCTACGAATCAAAACAAACACACTGTGTTGGAACGACGACGACAAGAAACATGCTTAAAAGCAGCTCAAAAGAAAACGGACGGTATAGAGACCGATTGCGTCCAGAGGCGAAGCAGCGGTACTTGAAAAAAAATAGAGTGCATCGCAAATCTGGACCCATATGAAATACGGCAGTGGAGTAAAGACCCAGACGACTTACCGCTGTTGTGCCAAAAAGTGATTGTCTGCCAAAAACTGATTTCCGGTATTTGCCAAAAAGCGATTGCTCATATTTAAAGTGCTATAAGTAACTTGTTGGGCTATAATATGTTAAACATATGTCAAATGCATCCCTTATGGATCCCACACAGCAAGTACGAACCATGGCTATGCTTTCGCTCCTTACTTAGACCCCCAAAATGGCGGATCGGGTCAAAATCCTTTCCACGCCCACCCCCGTGACATCACGCTCCAAAGCCCTATTTTAACAAGTAACAAAAAAAACTTGTATGAAGCTATCAAAGTAAGCAATAAAAATAAAGGAGGCTTTACCTTCACACTGAAGCACAAGAATTAGAATAAATGTAAGCAGGACCATTCTGTGCCGTTCTGTCAGCGCGCAAACGTTATGAGGCTTTTCTCTGCCGATGGTCTGTCTGATGCTTCCGTTTCCTCTTTGACATCATCACAAACCACCAACATTATTTTAAAAGAACTTGGATTATGTAACACCTGTGCCTGCAAACACAGCTTAAAAAAATTCACCTTAATTAGATGGATGAAAACCGTACTGGTTTGGCCTGATCGCTGAAACATTTTTTTTTTCATACATCTCTTTTCCTTGTACTATTGTAGCCAATAAAGCACTTGGAGACTAGAGTAAAACTCCACACTGAATTTGCATATCTTAGGTTAATTAATTTTTTAAAATAATCCTGGCCATGATGACATGTGGGTAGCAAGATCCTATCGTCCCATGGTTTTTCCTCACCAAATTTACAGGTGTATCTATTATCATGTCCATTCTGATGCTTCACAGTCAGAAAAGAAAGAAGGCTACAGAACTACAGGGCTGATAGAAATTTCCCGCGTGTTGTGTGTAAATGGTGTTGCGGGAGGTGGGGGGGGGGGGATTATTTTAGTGGTGAACTTATTTAGGTTGTGACCGTCCAAAACAGGGTCCACAGTCCAAAGCAGGACTTCAGAAGCAGTGCAGGACACAGTCGCTGCTTACTTTTAAACAAAGAGTATGGTAATAACAACCATAACAACAAAGTGTATGGTCGGTGAGTGACTGGCTGATTGAACACAGGTGGAGAGGTAAACTTTCAAACGAAATGCAAGAGAACAACAGATTACAAAATAGGAAAGTGAGAACTTCCTTGTTTTGAAGCATATTATTTGCAGTAAGTGCAACACAAATTCGACTGAAAATGACGAAACCTGATTTCAGGACATTGCTCATATAAGCAATGTTTTGTTACGCAAGCAATATTGTTATACGTAGTTTGGTCAATATTCAAAAAGATGTCATGAGATTATGAAGCATTAAAAAAAAACTTATGGGGAAAGTGAAAGATATTATTTTTTAAAATAGAAAAATCTAATTAAAAACAAAGATTCATTTTTGTTCTGGTTAACAGAAGGTGGTGCTCTGACGTTCAGTCCAGTTCACGATCAGCTGTCCTGTTTCTCACATTTTCATAGTTCACTGTGTCATCATCACGGTCACCAACATAATGTACCTGCGAAAAACAACACAGGTAAATCGTCAAGGGAAACTCATTGAAATCAAAATTTAATTATATTTAAAATAAAATACTAGGTCATCTAAAAGGTATCCTTAGCTAGTTTAAATTAGCTAGCAATGATCACACTGGTGGAGACTGAGGGTAGCACATTTACATAATTTCACAGTACTACTAGTACTAGTACTACTGCCATCGTTAAGCAATTTTCACACAAATGTCAGATAATTTTGGGAGACTCAGGTTAAGATGCCCTCCATAACAGGTGTAGTAGACAGGAGGAAATAGTTGTCTTAGGTTTTTGGAAAATCTTTTTTAGCCCAGCTAAAGAGTGCTTGAAACAGAGCACTTGACCTTTGAGGTGCATGCACCAGATGCTTAGCTGCAGTATCTGCATGTCTGCTCACAGTATGAGATTGTTTTTGAATGGAGACAGTAATGCTTTACATACAACTGTTAGTTTTTTTTTTTAACTTTACTTACTAATGGCTATTTCACTATCACTTAAAGATTTAAATTAACTGTGAGCATTTCTGAAGTCTTAAAAACATGTTCTGCTGCCACTGAAGAAAAATAATTATGGCAACCAAAAATGAGGTCATAGTGTTTCCTGCCATTTACAGCAGAAAGAAAAAAATCTCCCAAAGAGCTGAGAAATAAGTGTGTGACAGGGACACAACGATCAGTTGAGATCAGTTGGGTCACAGACTGGTCTCACCAGATTGTTGCCCCTCCCTGAGACTGGTTCTGTCTGAGGCTTCTTCCTCTTGAAAGGGAGTTTTTCATTCCCACTGTAGCCAAGCGCGTTTTTCAAAGAGGTTGTTTGATCATTGGGGTTTTCTCTCTAGTTGTTGTAGGGTCTTTACCTTTGAATACAAACCATCTTGAGGTGATTGCCGTTGTGATTTTACGTTATATAAATTAAATTAGATTGAATATGATTTTTTTAATTTGTTTACTTGTTTATTTGTTTATCTGTTTGTTTCTGGTGCATAATGGAAAAAAAAAAGTACACAACGCTCTAGACTTATTTGGGGCAACAAGATAATAAAAAAAAAACTACCCAGTAATCCTATAAACATTTGCGATGAAGCATCATGGCAGATTAAATGTTAAACATACAGATTATGTTTTTCTGTGCCATTTAAAGTCTTTATATTAGAAATGGTAAAAATGGTAAATGGCCTGTATTTGTATAGCACTTTACTAGTCCCTAAGGACCCCAAAGCGCTTTACACATCCAGTCATCCACACATTCACACACTGGTGATGGCAAGCTACATTATAGCCACAGCCACCCTGTGGCGCACTGACAGAGGCGAGGCTGCCGGACACTGGCGCCACCGGGCCCTCTGACCACCACCAATAGACAACGGGTGAAATGTCTTGCCCAAGGACACAACGATTGAGACTGTCCAAGCTGGGGCTCGAACCGGCAACCTTCCGATTACAAGGCGAACTCCCAACTCGTGAGCCACAGAAAGCCTGTGTGTTTAAAATTCAGGTTTTTTTTAACTCACATTCGTGTCTTCAGGTGGCTTTTTCCTTCCTAAAACAAGAGCACTGAATAAATTCAAAGGTCTTTTTGTTGGTAATCTGTCTCATTACTGATCTGAATTGTCTCACCTTTGTGTCTGATCACAAGAACCGTGATTACAATCATCACTGTGAGTCCTACAAAGCGAAGAGCCCACGTGATGTAGTTCAGAGGAGACCGATCTGGGGTACCTAGAGAACACACAGTTCAAAATATTTCTTTATAAATTTGATATCTTTTAGTTAAAGTGTTTAAATAATTTAACTGCTGTGAAAATCCAAATTATTATTTATACTAGGAGTTCAAATGTCATGGGTCAAACTGATCTAACTGTTATACAAATCCTACCTATGAGGACAGGTGTGTAGTGAGCTTCTATCTTCACAGTATTGTTATCGTCAAACTGGCAGGTGTATCTTTTCTTGTTGCCACTCTGAAGCTTCACAGTCAGAAGAGAAACACACGTGCGTCCAGTGTTCTTCACATCTCTGTCCCACAAAACACACTTCTTGTCTCATCCACCCAATGCATACTGTTTTGTTTGCAAGGAGGGAGAGTACAGCAGAGATAGAAGTAAAGCATTACTGTAATCTGATTACTTTTTTCAAGTAACTTGACCAACACTGATTAGGACCCAAGATGCAGGCTTCTGCTTCTGATGCAAGATTCATTTTTATGGTGTGGGTAGAAACAGCAGTGGTGATGGCATGTGCAGAACGTAGCCTGGCTAAATTAACCAGCCCAGAACACAGATTATCTTTGGGGTTCTTTTAATCTGAATGATAAAGTAAGCGCTGGAAATAAAAAGGTTGTAAAAATAAATGCATTTATTTCTTATCCAGTAACAGCTTTGTGCACTGGTAACCCACTGCTACTGCAGGTTATTTTCTCAACTTTGTCAGCGTCTGTAACTCAAAGATGTCTAGCGTCAATGTGTGACTGATATAAACCCATCCAGAAACAAAATCTCAGCAGTGCAAAAATAATTGTAGTGGCTTCTCCTGCTGAAAGACAGAGCCAAGATTAAACAGTTAACAAAGGTACATTTTCCCTCTTACCCACGGAGATATTATAATACAAGTGTGAACTCAAATACATACAGTGCATTAATCCAGTAGAAAAACGGAATACAGATCCCTCTGAGATGAATGGTTGAAGTCGGTTGCAGACACTTCTGGTGCTTTAACTGTTCCACACTTTGCGTTTCAAACAGATCACGCAGCGAAAAACCGTCGTGATTACATTGTGGGCATTACACACCCACATTACACCAATGCAAGCTAGCACTTCCGTGAATGTCTCTGTAGATCCCCATCATCATCTCTTGCGCTCTCAGAGGTACCCCAAAAGAAACAGCGCCATCCAGTGGCATGTCCCATAATACTGACCTTCCACCTGGCTACACTAAGATAACCTGAACTGGAAAAACTAACAAAAACATACCAGAAACCTTTAAATAGAGACGCAGGGATACTTGGGGAAACAACACAGACGAACCAGCAATGAGCACAAGATGACACACACTGAATACACAGACAGGAACATGAGGGAATGAGGAACAGGTGGCAACACAGCTAGAACTGATTGGGCACAAAGGGACAAGGAAGCAAAGCAGAATACACTAACGTAAGACACAGACTTTCAAAGTAAAACAGGAAATACACAGAGAGGCAGACTGGAGGGGGAGAGAGAACACTGAGGAGCACAAGGGAGAACACAGACATGACGGGTTGGGGAAACATGGAATAAAACACAAGGAGGGAAAATAAGGCACCAGAACTCCAATACACAGAGGGAGATACAGGGGGTAAAGACACAAGGGGAAATCCAATCAACTAAACCGAACAACAAAGAATAACTCCTTAGAATGACAAATGATCTTAGCATGATACAGAAACGCAACAAAACTGAGAGTGCTAGGTCAAAATGACCCAGGACCCCAACATACTCATTGCCATTCATTTACCATGTTACCTGAAGTGTTTCACCCACAAGGTCAGTCTTATGTCACAGTAGATGCTAAATCAGCTATGGGGACAGTGCGGTGTATAACTGGCTTTTCAATAGAAGCCCAGGGGCAAGTAAAACAAACAAAAGAAAAAACAGGTCTTGGTTAATTTAACCTGGTAGAGTTTCTAAAAGTCTGTAAAATACATGCCACAAAAGAAGGACAAGAAGGCCAAATTATGTATACTTACTCCTTGTTTAGCCCCTTCTTGTCTTTTGTCTGACAGAAAACGTCTTCATTTATACCTTTATAAGGTTTCTTCTGATTGGCTGCTCCTCATCAACACATGTACCAAAAGTTGAACGAACAACTGTTGTCACATCCAGAGCTGTGTGCCTGAGGTGAGCTTTGCACATACTCATTATTTCAAACTCTGGGCTGCAATTAAATACATATACAGGATCAGACACAAAGAAAGGCAAAATATGCTGAGAACTCTGTTATTCTCTGTATTAAATTAGATTAAAGTTCTTCCCTGGAAATGCAATACGCCAAACGCATGCATATGCATTTGATAAATTTAATTAATAAGTTATCTAAAAAGAAGAGAAAAAAACACACTAGTGGCACTATAGGTCAGAGCAATGCTTCAGTGATCCTTTGGGATTACTGGTGTTATGTGGGCCACTGATTTATTCATCATCCTTTTATTGTCTTCTTGTCATCTCATTAACCAGCTCTGTTGGTCGCAGAATACTCGTCCACCTATATAAAGCCAGAGAAGTCAAAGCGTGGAAGTTTGCAGTTGACATCTTGTTCCCTTTCTCTTCCTCCCTCACCACGGGTATTACCTTTTTGTTTTATTTGTGTATTTTAATTACAAGTTAATCACAATCTAGTTTTGGGTTTTTTTCCATTAGTTTAGCTAGAAACCTGATTTTGTTGACTGTCTCCCTCCCGTCTCTTTTGGCCCTTTGGGCCATGAATTTAGCAGCTATAACAGTTGTTTAATAGACTCTTTTTTTAGAAGAAAAAAAAAGTGTGAATGGTTGTCTGTCTCTCTGTGTTAGCCCTGTGACAGACTGGTGACCTCTCTAGAGTATACCTGACCTCTTGCCCTATTGCAGCTGGCACAGGCTTCTGGTGCCCCTGTGACCCTGAATTGGATGAGCAGAAGAGAATAGATGGAATTCTGAACGTTTAAATCTGATCTATTTAAAAAGTCAAAGGTTATTCTTAGTAATAAATGGCCTTCAAATAGACTGTTTAGTTCAGCAGTGTAGTTTGCAGCAAATTAAGTCCAAGGAAAAAATGCAGGTTCTGCCTTATGTCATTTAAGCTTGTTGGAGTGAAAATGCTTTAATGACACAAAACGCATCTGACTATATTTTATTTGTGTTATTGGTGGAAAAAACGATTTAGCTGGCCAATGATGTGTTTACGTTTTAAAAGTTTTTTTTTTTTTTAAGTTATTTAAAATTTGACTTGCACCTAGTTTTATTCAAATTAGAGACACATGGTTTTTCAGTGACCATGTGTGCATATGTGTTGATCACTTGTCAACACATATGCACAAGCAGGATCCTGAGGTCTTAACTCTGAGATGGAAATTTCCGAAAGTTCGGTTTCAGAAAAGCTGATCAGGGCATAATTAATGAAAAAAGACTTCCAATATCACTGTTCACCATGAAAAAGGAGCATAAAAAGCACCAAGCCCCCATTTTTTTATCCAGTTGACTGTAGAATACAAATACATATCTCACTGTGAGCAACAAAAATCGCCTTAAAAAAGCAGAGGGAGAAAATTATCCACTTCATTTACCAACCTCATTTTAACATCGGCTACGGGTAAACTCTTCCACATTGTAAACATTTAAAATTTTACTGTGAAGCACAGCAGAAGATGAAGCATTTTCCACTAGATTATTTAATTTTTCTAGAAGTTACACATTGTACAGTGTGTTTCAGTCTTGTTCAGTATCCAAAGGTTTCATGATGTATTTGTGCAGGAACTGAGAAGCCACAAAGCACAAGAAAGAGAAAGTAAACATGATCTTTCTGAAGAATACAAATTATTTATAAAATGATAAAGAACTAAAAAGAATTATGATGACTCTTTGTTCCTGGTGAGTTAAAGTTGGTGCTCTGAGCTCAGCACTGCTTTTCAGGGTCACCAAAATCAGCACGTTCACCATCAACCTGTTAAGTACAACGCAAGTAAATCTTTAAAAACAGGTGGCGTATTAGATATTACAGACACATAAAAAATAATGCCTGTGTTGTTAATTTAGACGGTTGCTATGTTTGAACTGATATGCTTTGCTTGTTTTCTGCAAACATGATGATATTCTTTGGTGTGTTCAAGTACCACTTTATAAACCTAAACTGCGCTGCCATATTCCTTTAAGAGACAAGAGGCTTTCTCTCCTGGCAGAACCTCCAGTGAAAGCTGTGCTTTTTCATGTTTGCTTATGCAGTTTTGTTTCATTTTTGTTAAATAAAAATGACACAGTATCAATGGCATATGTTGCTGTTCATCTGAGGTTACACTTATCTAACTTGAAGGCCTTTTAAAGACCAGATTAGTATGCTGCAACAGTCAGTCATGTAAATATGCTGCAGTACTGAATGATGCCACAAGGTGGTGCCTCCTCCTTATAGCAAATCCTGCAATAAGACAGGTTTGCATGTCTTTCCTGTACTAACTCATGAGAGTGTTCCTGTAACAGCAAAACTGTGAAATAAAGTCTTAGTTTCATCCAGTATTATGTTTATAGGTTTTCAAAAACTACCAAATTGTTCAAGAGGCACTTTAAATGACTCATACTGCTAACTGCTAACTTAAACTGTAAGCGTTAGCTACATTTTTAAATCGAAAAGCCTACATATTTCAAGCTTCAACTCACTTTGGTGTTTTCAAGCTTTTAAAGTAGCTGGAAAAAGTAACAGAACAGCAATTAAACTGAAACGTCTGATTATTTTTGATCAGCGAACTTTATATGACGCAAATACTGAAATAAATGCTTGATATAGGTAAAAAACATCCAAATCAAAAGGAAAGCCTTCGAAATTGATCCTGTGCTTGAAATTCTGCAGTAAAACTTATATCCTGCAGCTCTGTTATCATTTAAATTGTCTAACCTCTGTTTCTCATAAGAGCAATGATAGCAATTATTAGGATCAGTCCTGCAATACAAAGGGCCAACATGATGTAGCTCAGAGGACACGGATCTGTGGAATCTGTGAAAAACACACGAAGGAAAATATTAATTCCTAAATTTCTTAAATTTCCTTCTTGTAACCTTATAGTCAATGTCCAGCAACATCAATGTTTTGAACATTTAGAAGCTACAGTAACAAACCAAAGCTATATGTCAAAATCAATCTGTTCTTTATCCTACCTTTGAAGACAGGTGTGTACTGAGCTTCTATCTTCACGCTGTTTTCCTTAAAAAACTGGCAGGTGTATGTTTTTCTGTGGCCTCGCTGATGTTTCACAGTCAGAAGTGAAACACACGTCCGTCCAGTGTTCGTGGCACCTCTGTCAAGCAGCATCTTTCCTGTCTCGTCCAGCCAGCGGATGCTGTTCTCTTCACAAGGATGGAGGTCAGAGTATCTGAACAGAGCGCACTTTAATGTGAAGTCTCCATCCCCATTTAGTGTCTGAGATGCTGAAACTGAGAGAAATAGGTGATAAACAAAGTAAATGTAATTAGGTCATCACAACTGCTCCCACATCTCAAACTAATTCTAATGTTTAACAGCTTTATGCACATTTCATTGGATTCATCAGTGAGACTTTATTCTTAAGTTGTTGTTTCTAAGGGCAGCATGAATCTGAAGTGTTAAAATCACTCAAACAAAAGCCTTTAATACATTTCATCATCCATGTTTAGTCAAAACATTGTTTTTTTAGTTTGCTACTTTCCAGTTACTGCATGCTGAAAGTTTTCAATCCATCCAGTTTATTCCACTTTAGGGTCATGGGGACTAAAGCCCATACAATTTTTAATACACTTCAATGTATGCAGCTTCTAACTCTAAATGTTAAACGCTCCACGGCCCATCCCGAGGAAATATTGGACAAAGGCTGTTGATTATGGAGCGGCCAGGCTGGAGAAAAAGAGGAAGACCGCAGAGAAGATTCATGGATATAGTGAAGGTGGACATGCAGATTGCTGGTATGACAGAGGAGGATGGTAGGGAAAGGGTGAGGCAGATGATTCACTTAGGCAACCCAATTAAGGAATTAAAAGAAAGAAGAAGACACAAATACATGTAGTGTGTTTTACAGCAGAGTGTAAGTACCCACTATTCAAAATATGTAGATACACAACTGTGTCCTAGTCAGTGTTCTTGCCAGGCCGACAGCAGTAACCACCAGCGTCCTCAGCAGTGATGTTCTGGATGCCCAGGTGGCATTTACTGTGCAGACTGAGCCGGGCAGCTCGGGATGAGTTCTTCTCGATGACCCCATTGTAAACTATGGCAGCAGTCCCAGATCGATCTTTGCTGTAAAGCCAGTGAACGACGGAGCAGCTTGAGTCAAGTGGGGCTGCGTTGTCACAGGGGAGAATGGCATCATGCCCCGATTTGTAATAAAGGTAGAAGTATCTTACACCAATGCCCGC